CCTTTGTGTTTGATGTAGACATTGTTATCATATCTCGTCCTTTTGTATGCTGAGAAAACAATAAAGAAAATATGACACTAATAAAATAGTGTTAAGAACTTACTTTAGTTGACATGTTGTACATATTCCCATACCAGGATGAGCGTTGTAAGAGTTGATGAGCCAAACATGTTGGACAAGTTTGCACTCTAAAATCCGGCTTGCCATTAGTAGTATTTGTCATAATACTATTTGACTTTACCTTGTATTGATCTTTTTTTTAGCTAGATGACAAACCAATCTGCTTTGGTGACGATCTTGATCTCACTTCAACTAGTCTTTGATTTTGTTAAAGGCATTTTGTTTTTGGACCAATACAGATAGTTACAAGACTTTTTACAAGTAAAAAGCATATCTTGTTCTATTCCAAAATATAGGTTATAGATCGACTTTCCAGCTATAGAAACTTTATGAAGTTGATTCATCGGATTCTAAAATGACTTAATATAAAATGTGGGTGCTTCAAACTCAAGATTAAATGATCAAGAAGTAAGTTAATCGGATGGAGAATATTCAAGACATAAGATTTGATCTCACATTTTAAATAGGTTGAGGATCCGATATTCAGCATCCACAACCTTAAGCTTAAGGTTCGGATGTTCAGCTTTTGGAGTTATATCTGATGGATGTATTTCATCGAATATTCTCATTGTAAGGCAAATAAACAAGAATTTCCTTCTAAGAGCTTGATCGGATGCTAATTGTATCATTTACAAGCATCCTCCCTGTAGGACTCATCATGCTCGATGAAGTCTGCCCCATTATTGTATCATCCTAAGATCACATTTGCATATAAACATGTATTTCCCATTATCGGTTTTAAAGATAGTTTGAATAATTAGCAGATATTTCATTTCAAACATTTCGTATTAAATGTATGAACCAACACTGAAAGCTCGGAACTCCTTTCATAGGTTATCAGATCAAGCAGCTTTTCCAAGATAATTGGAGATTTTCCATACATCTTCATAACCACATTAATTAGTCGTAGTATACGTCAACTAACTCAAACACCTACCGTTAAAAAAATGGTACCGTTTGGGGTCTATAAGGTTACTTTATGGTTTATAGAAGACAAAAAAAAACAAAGTGTTAAAAGCACACCTTCTTAATTACCATGTGTATTGTGACAAACCTTCCAACATTTTTTTAATATTAAATATTTATTAAATAATTATATTTTATATTGCACATTTAAACATTTTTTGGAGTAGTATGTCCCAAATAAATAGTTCCAATTACTTTTTTAGTTATCTTATTATTTAATAAAAGAAATTGAACCCATGTGCCTTACTACACTAATTGTATTTTAAGTACCCATATATATTCCCATTTTAATCTTGTATTTACTGATTTAAAGTTGATAGAAAGTATAACAAATGTTTTACAAGAAAAATAATAATAACCTTTTTTTTTCTAGAAAGTTGTTGTCGGGCCGTTTACTCGAATATATATATCTGATAAGTATTTATTGTTGGAAGTCAACACTATAATTTATTTTAACAGGTAAGATCATAGTACATCAAAATGATATCATATACAACAATTTACATGGTAAGTAAGAGTCGGCACCCTCACTTACCGAATAAGAGTATTCTTCATCTTTATTATTGTTCTTAGCGGGTAAGATTTTTTATCTTTGTCATGTTCATTCGGTAAAGAAAATTACCCGATAAACACTTATCAGGTAAGCATTTTTAACGTACTTATTTACTTATAATTAGGGGTGCTCAAAAACCCGATGAACCCGACCAACCCAACCCGAATTAAAAAAAAACCAACCCGAGGTAACCCGATGCATGATCGATAAAAAAATTAGTCAACCCGACCTTATTGGGTTGGAATCGGGTCATGCCCAAAAAAACCCGACCAACCCGATGAACCCGACMTTAACTTTAGCTTTGAATTGTAGATGCCAATCATGACATGACCAACCTCAACGTCAAGAAAGCGAAAGCATCGGGGTTGGAAACGCTAAAACTATTGTTGTTGATTGATGTATTATCATTTGGTTTAAACATTTTTATTGTAATATCTAAATATTTGATGAACTTGCATATTATCTTGAATGGTCAGTCGTATTTCAAAAGAAAGTTTYCTTTATTTTTATGTGATTTTACATTGTTTAAACACAAYCCGATCAACCCRAACGGGTTGGGTTGGGTTGGGTTGAACTTTTGTTTGGGTTGGGTTGGGTTGAAAATTTTCAAACCGCCAACATTGGGTTGRGTTGTTAAAACGGCTCCAAACCGATCAACCCGGACCATGAGCACTCCTACTTATAATCATAATTTTAAAGAAGTGAATATGTTAATTCTAGTTAACCTGGATTTACAAAATTCGATCTTTTTTATCTTAATTTTTCTTTCTAATTATTTTTTTTAATAATTAATCTTTTAAAACCATTTTGTGTTTAATTTTTATGGTATTTCCTTGTTAAACTTATTTTCTAAAAATAAATCAGTATCGAATTTTTTCTAATTTTATTAGTAAATTATCCAATTAACGGCACCACCTTCTCCATGTGGTTAATTCTGTTGAACTCAAAAATAAAACTATAGTCGTAAATGGTGACGAACAAGAAGCTTTTACTGTGAACTTATTGTGTTTAAATATATGAAATCATTGAACGTAATGAACGATTTGTTCATTAACGTTAGACAAAATTAATAGCGTCTGTTGTCGAAGATCTCGTTACGTCGAGGAGGATTAGTATGAAAGATATGTGATCCTTTGACATAACTAAATTATTTTGACACGTATGATGTAAATGTTTATATGATTTTTAACAATGCTACCATTGTGTTTCGCGTTGTACTACCATTGATAACAAAAATTATAGGGGATTGGTGGAAATTCAACGAATTTGTGATGTTTTTTTCACTACAAACAACATCCTTTTTCAGACGGACAAATCCATTGGAAAACAAGAATTTTGAAGGATTTCTGGTGAATTTGTAGGCCAGAAAAGGCTTCACTGGAAAACACTATTTCTGGCAGCTTTTTCTGGCGGATTGACTGATTTCCGCCGGATTTGGCCGTGGGAAATCCGTCACAATTCTTTTTAATTTTCCAATTTTCTTGAATGAATTAACGAAATTAATAATTGTAAGAGTAGATTATAAATTTGGTCCCTATGGTTTGTTGTTTGTAACACTTTGGTCTCTACAGTTTTGAAATTATAAGATGGTCATCATGGTTTGCAAAAAGGACCAAATTTGGTCCCTCCCTCTAACTATTGTTAGCTTTTGGCCATAAAGTGAGGGGCATTTTCTTCTTTTTAGGTTTTCATTTTATTTTATGTTAAAGATTAAAAAACTTCAAATATTCACCCAATGAAATAATGACAAGTGTCCCACCCTTCACACATTTACATATACACATTGAAATGAAATTCACAGGTGAACTTTACCGGCACCAGTTGTCTTCTCCGGCCAACAGTAAGAACATACATGGCTTAAATCATAATCAATTCTATACACAAATAACAAAATCGAAATCAATTCCAAACCCAAATCCAAATCTTAGAATCCAAAACAATCATTAACAAGCAATACTTCGAACTAAAACCAACAATCTATGATCGTTAATGCAAATCCTAATTGAAGAACCCAAATTCAAACCTTATAAATCTGAAACAAACCCTTTGAAATCTAAAACAAATTGAATGTGAATGGAGAGAATCTGAAACAAACCCAATTCGAGTTAGGATATCAAAGATTTACACATAAATTCGATAAGTTAAGGGTTATAGATGAGGTTTTGGAAATTACCGTGGTGAAATCAGTGGTGAAAGGGGGAGAACCCTCATACAAGGGAAGATGTTGGAGATGAACATGGTGGGGAAGATGATATGGTCGACGATGGGGGGGGGGAGTGTTCATCGGAAAAAAAAAAAGAGGAGTTGCAAGTCTTTTAGGGTGCTGGCAATCGAGAGCTTGGTCGGTGGAGTATTAGTTCTAGGTAGCAGAGGCCAAAGGGAAGGCTGACCAGAGTTGTACGTCCAAGTTCAAGTCGAAGTTGCGGGTGCAAAGGAACCAGAACTCTTCTTTCTTCAAAAAAGAGTTATGAATAAAGTTAGGAAGATGGTGTAGGCAAAAAATGATATGGTCTGTGTAGATGTTATCTCCAAGCAGTCGGCGAAGACCATAAGGATGGTGTTCATGATCAGCGACCAAGTCTGGGTTTTATTCCACAAGGTTATGTGTTCGCATACACACACACACATAGAGAAAGATAGAAACACACATTAAATTTTATTTTTTGAATAACAATTAGTGAAAAATGGCAAAAGTCTAAAATGCCCTCACCTAACGGATGTTTTTAACGGTCGTTAAAATGAGGAACAAAATCCAATCGTTTTTGCATACCATGATGGTCATCTTGTTATTTCAAAACTGTGGGGACCAAAACTGTTACAAATAACAAACCACAAGGAAGAAATTTATAGTTTCCTCTAATTATAATTAAATTACCGGCAGACTCCCGGCCAATTAGATCTGTCAAGGCGAGCCGTCTAATCCTAGAACGACCACTCGCTTTGTAGATAGCTCGGAATCACAGCACTTAAAGCTCAGTACTCACAACGGGATTTTTATTCAAATGATTATTATTCATTTCATCTCAAGAAGATTTTGAAACTTATCTTTCAAGACTTATAACATCTATTTTGAGTTTTTTTTATATTAAATTAATTATTTATTTATCATCATGATTGCAAATTAAATAAATTATGTAGATTTGTGCTAGAAATTCTATAAGAATTATGGTATTTTGTATTTTAACTTATTTGTAATTTGAGTGATCCAACGTTTTATTTATTAAATAATTATTATCAAACTATTTATTTATTTATTTATTTATCGGCTATAAATAGAATTCGTAGCCAAGAACCTCAAACCATTCTTTCAAACACCATAAAAGAAGCTCTAAAACCCTAACTTTTGATCAACAACAACAGATTTTGATATTGAAAATGTCAGAAACCCTCTCAGATTCTGATACCGCCATGCTTGAATTGGTTCGAAAGTACCTTCTTGAAGAACCTGACATCCTGTGTCCTTTTCCGGCGATAAATACTCCCTCCGACGAGCCGTACTATAGCCGGAGTTCAAGCTTCACGAGCCCTTTTTCATCGGAGAAATCCATCGAACCATCATTCTGTGTCGATTCATATGTTGATTCTCTTTCTTCTGTCATAAGTTCATGCAAGTCAGGAGTTTCTAGCCCTAGCAACAGCATCATCAACCCATTTTTTCATGATAATTCATTAGCGAGTTCGTGCAGTGAGTCGACTCATAGCCCGAGTCCGAGCTACACGAGATCCAACTCATCGTTAACCGTTGGTTCGGACATTTCGACTGGTTTTCAAGTTACAAATTGGGAAGGTGGACCTGCGCTTCATAGCCCAACCTCACCGGTTTCAACGGAGAAAGCACAATTCAAAGTCGATTTCTCGCTTGGAAAAGTCGAAAAGATCAAGAAGAACGATCAAAGAAGTAAAGATTGGAGACGGTTTAGAGGCGTAAGGCGGCGCCCATGGGGGAAATTCGCGGCCGAGATCAAGAACCCGTGTAAGAAAGGAGCAAGAATATGGCTCGGAACGTTCTCCACGCCCGAAGAAGCCGCGTTGGCTTATGATCAAGCCGCGTTCAAGATTCGCGGTTCTCGAGCCATGGTTAACTTCCCACATTTAATCGGCTCGAAAACCCTAAACCCGTTATGTCCCTTGTCACAAGTAGCTTTGGAATGTAAGTTGAAAAGCAAAGGTTTCAAGACAAAACCCGAACAATGATCGTTTTCGGGCATCAGTAGTTTGAAAAACAATAAGGGTTTGTATTATTTTAGGAACTGATCAATACAAAAGTTTGAGATTCAAAACTATTACTGTAATCAGACCCGTTGCTGACATTTTATAGGTCTCAGGCGAACGTAAAAACAGGGTCTGCGAACTGATACAATTACTGCATACTTTACTCTTTCTAATTGAATAGTTTAAAGAAGTTTCCGAACGCAATACGAAGGGCCAAGATCGATCGTTCTATGATCATGTGACAGTGACAGATTGTTCCATGTTCGAAGCTTTTAGTTCCAAGAACAAAAGCTAACTGCCAACATGAAGTACAGACAAGAAACACAACACTACGAAGCCTATAAACAAATCGACTAATGCCAAAACCATTTGCCATACAATATCATATATTGTCTGTTTGAATAAGACCCCGATTAAGTAATCATCCTAAATATGTAGGGTCGGGTTACAATCCGAATCGACAACTTTGTTCAAGACAAGTAATGTTATATAGGACGTTGTCACATGCGGGTATGATGTGGTTTAGAGTCGAGTTGTCTCGAGTATAACGTATATATATATACTACGTCCAAATGCATGATCAGAGTGAGCAAACGATTCATACGTTACACTTGATATATGTTTCGAGCTTGTGTGATAGACTTTGGAGGTTGTTGGGATGACCATTTGTCGTTAGTACGTCATCTTTCGCCTACAGTTTGTTGGACTCTCTTTGGATTATCATTCTAGTATTCAAGCAGCACTGTTTGAAGCATTGTACGGAAGGAAGTGTAGAACGAACACCTTGTTGGATTCTTGTTGGGTGAGAAACAATTAGTTGGACCTGAGATAGTCTAGCAGACCTCAAATAATATTTTTCAGACGAGAGAAGTTGAATGTTGTGCAAGATAGCCAGATAAGTCATGCAGATAAGTTGAATGAAAGATATCAAAGAAGGGCAAGATTGGGAGGGTCATGTTTCAAGGGAAAACCACAAAAAATAAAATACTGAAAAACACTCTGGTAACCATTCATCTGGAATGTATGCACATGTTATTTTAAGCAATTTGTCTGGTAAGCACATGCAGAAGTGCATAAAAAACAAGAAACAACTTCAGTTACCAAAGAAACGGTCGGTGAACGGCCAGAGAAACGGTTCGGTACTCGTTAAAATGCTTATTTTAAGGATGTATTAAGACATTAGTTTCCTAATGACTTGGAGATGCAATACGTATTAATGAATTCGATTAGCTTCTTGCTTAATGAAAGCGAATAAACTTTCCAATTACTTTAACGATATTTTATTTAATCATTTTCCTTTTTATTTTATTAATTTTTTTATATCAAGAACGTGGGTTATCAAAATCCTTGTGTAGCTAAAAAAAGGTCCAATAAATCTTATATAAATTATTATCTACTCAATCATTATTTACCAGATTTATTCAAATAATTTATGTTGTTATGATGGGTTTTTTATTAATAAAATTCATAATTCTTTATTTTCTTATAATTATAACCTTTTTTTATTAACCCAGATACTCAACCTGCTATGTGAGCCGACTAATCCTAAGCAACCACCTGCTTTGTAGGTAGTACGGAGCCATTGTATTTGAACATTTATAGTCACAAGGGGATTCTTATTCCCCCTTGAATTTGAACTTGAAACTTCCAGGCACTTTTAATCTTTGGAGTTCAAGCTCAAACCAACCAGATGCTATTCTTATGGTGATAATTATGAAATTTATTTAGTTCCAATATAGTGTCACAATCAATATTTATTAAAATATTACATTTTTTTAATATAAAAAACTATAATTTAATTGATGACTTTCAAGAAACAGTCGTAGGAATTTGCCATGGTCGTATGTCAAATTCAATTGTTTTTGAAATTTTATTGTCTTAATTGGTAAGTCATATGTGAGTATGAAAGGTATTAATTTTAATTAATTAATACAAATTGTTAAAAATCAATCATTTTCATTCCACTTTTTTGTTTTTTAAATTTGTTTTTTTGGAATTTAGAGATTTGAAAAAGTAGATGCTTCATGTATTGACAGAAGTAGTTACCTGTGGGCCAAATTATTTTCTATTTTAAATTAATAAATATGATTTATTTTTTTCCATTTAATTGTTCCAAGATTTATATCGATTTATTAAAATATAAGAATTTTTTTCACGATAAATGTAAAATATTTTTATAATGAAATGATTGAGATGGTGGAGGCATTTATTTATGTAGTATTTTAATTAAAGAGAATAAAAATAATAATTGAAAATGCATAAAATACAAACCATATGCTTAATTTCTAGACCATTCTTGGAAATAATGTTTGATAAATCATAAGGATGGTGTTCGATTGGTTTGAGTTTGGACTTCGATAGTCAAAAGTGTTGGAGGTCTCAGGTTCGAATCTATGGAAGAATAAGAATTCTCTTGTGGTTAGGAGGTTCAAATGCGGCGACTTCGGGCTACCTGCGAAACAGATGGTCGTCCTGGGATTAGTCTGCTCGCATAGCGGGTTGGATATCGAGGTTAATCAAAATTATGTATTTGATACAGTAATGAGCAAGTATATTGGAAATCCCTTTAGATAATAGGTTGATAGATTGGTAGAGAGAGATTTTTTGAAAAAAAATAGATTATTCAACTAACGGTTCCACGTTAAAATTGTGATTCTAAACCGAAACCAACAAATGATATTTTTCGTAGTTTGATTAACCCTAAAAGGTGTTATTAGCATGTAAAATTACTGAAACCACTTAAACATATAACCGGTTAGGACCGTACAAGTACATTTCCCGAATTTGAAAGATTTGTCTCCGAGATCTTGAATCTACTGGATTTGAAAATTGAATTTTATCGACTTCGTTAGCCTGAAAATTATTGTGATTTGGCGATTTGTCAGGTTTTTTTGGTTTTTGTAACATTCATATTTTTGTATGAGAACAATTACTTAACGGATTTGATCAAGTTAATTTCGAGGTAAAGATGCAATTTTATGGAGTTTAAACTGTGTTTAAGCTCTTTGGTAAGTTGAAGAGTTTTAAAGTCTCAAATCGGGAATTTGGGGTCACCCTAGAGCTCCACCGCGACTTGGTCGGCGACCTAAGTCATGGCCAATGTTGCCTAAACCTCTGGAATTTGGAACCGAAGAAGGAAACTAGAACAGTAAGTCTCGCTACTTGGTGTGCAACCTGAAGTCGTGACCAAGATCGAATGGGTGCACTTAGGGGCACAATCTGTAATACCCTAAGATCCATATTGACATATAACCATGTATTTCAAATATCAAGAAATAAAAATTTACATATTCGATCCCAAATATATATATATAAGTTATATATATATATATATATGTTATATTACAACATAGCTAACAACTTTTTCCACAAGTCACTATACAACATATGAATACATATCAAGTATTCAGATATAAAAGAAGATTATGCTAGCCCCAAAATTCCATGTAAGCATAATATAACACTTCATAATTTCCCCTTCCCCTTCCCCTTGCTCTCTGATTAGGCCCTACCAATAATGCACATTTTTTAAACACAAAATAAGAGTTAGACCTTGAGTTCTAGTGAAAAACTTCTTTGATGCAATTACAGGGTGAAAATTAAATATACATCATTTTGATAGAACAAAACCCATTTATCGCATTCAAATACCCAATATTTTGAAAAATACCCCATGATAAAGTTTGTCCCAACATATAGAAATTTATACCATTTTCTTGCATCACATTGATAAGACAAACTCAAGTCCTCGCAACACGCTGGTGCAAGAACCTCAACTCATCGCATCATTCAGAGCCAATGACATGACCAACTAGAGGCAAAGCTAACCAAAAAGCAAGGCCAACCAGAGGCCCTCTAGATGACCAGAGCCCCTCTAGCTAACTAGAACTTGTGGTCTTACTAACCAGAGCTTCTGGTCTTATCAACTAGAAGTGAAGTCAAACCAGAGGCAAGGTCAACCAGAGCCCATCTGGACAACCAGAGCCTCTGGTTCGTCTATCTATAGCCTCTAGGGACAAGAAATGGTTAAACACTTAAAATAAAGTTGGATTTCAAATATAACTAGAGGCTTTCTGGTTAAACATAAAGACCAATCAGAGCCCCTCGGTTCCTCTATCATGGATTGTAATATTTTACAAAGTTAAAATAAACAATGAGAAGCAAAGACACGTAGAGGTCAAACCAACCAGAGCCCTTTTGGTTATAACACAATTTCCTCATAATAATAACATCTTATCGCATCAATTGGATGTGACAACCCAAGTCCTTGCATCACACAGATGCGATAACTCAATGTCATCGCATCACAAGGATGCGATAACAAAAACATATGATCAAAACCCAGATTTCACAATTTCATGATTTTGCCACCCTTATCCTGGTATACACATCTTCTTGATATGTCACTCTTATCCCAATATACAACTATCCTTGATATGTCACATTTATCTCAGTATACACATCTCCTTCATATGTCACTCTTATTTCCACACAAGATATAATCATAACAAAACCCACCATTTTTGCCAATGATGGCATTAAAACAGTTTCATAACAGAAACTCATATAAAGAACTATACAGTTCTATACCCAGTCTCACCATCATGCTGAAATAGAATCCAGAAACCATTTTATCATCATCCCCATAAAAGAACCATATGGTTCAAATTTGAAAATACCAAATAAGGAAAGTTAATAAATTAAACTCACATGTTTTCACAAAGAAGCGAATAACAGCAACAAAGATTTAAGAAGAAATCACAGAGATCGGCTTCTACTTCTCCCTCCTTTTTGGTTATGTTTTTCTCTCAAACTCCAGAACATACACAGAAGTTTTTTTCTTTTTTTTTCTCCACCAAAATCAATGAGATAAGATAATTATCTTATCAATACTTTACTTTAAACCATAAGAGGCGGTGGAGGTTTTCAAAATAATTAGTCACACTCTCCCAAGAGATAAAACAAATATCTCATATATAATAACATTTAGGCGGTAGGGATTATTTTAAACATTTAAGCAC